TTCTGCCTGGTGCCCGTGGAGGCCAGATAAGGGTGCAGGTACCCTGGAACCGTAATTACACAGTTGTGAACCCTCATGTGGGTGCAAGCAACTGAACCCAAGGCCTTAGAAACCCAAAGGGACAGGTGTCTGAGGTGTTGCTGGGCCAGCTTGGAGATGGAAATACTGGCTTTTTGTCTGCTGTCTACAAATGCCTCCCATATGACACCAGGAGTCCTGGTCTCCCACAGTCTCTTGAATTTCCCAATGTGACTGTGGACACTAGGTGTGAGAGACCCTCAGACATTTGGCAACTAACTGCCTTCTGCTCTCTTCCTGTATTCCCGTGGGGACTCCCGGAAGCCATGCAGCCTCTCCTTCCCTCAGGAGCTCTTTGCCGCCTCTTAGCTGTGGAGTCCTGAGTGAGTCGCTTCACTTCTCCTCTGCGAAGCAACCCCCAACCCCCATAGCTCTGGAAGTTAGAGAAAGATTAAAAGTGTCAGTCAGGACTTTGGAGGGAATTTTTGTTGATTTTGTTTTTGGAATAGATTCAAACCTTCCAAGATGGCGACTGTTCTTATGGTGAAGGCCTTGGAACCCAGAGGAGAATTGAGACATCCAGGTACACTGAGCCAGGGGAGGCAAGTTCATGAGCAGGCTCTGTCCTCTCCCTCCCCCTGTCCTTTGCCCTCTCTGGCCCTGGTTTTAGCTCCCTGTACCACTAAGGGCAGAATGAAGTCTGCAGCCAAGCTTGGCAGGACAAGCTGACTTCAGGACAAACCCTTCTCTTTCTCAGCCGAGCACATGCAAATTTCCCAACAGGCTGTGTGTGTGTGTAACAGCTCCCCTGTCAAGTGAGGGGGCCCTTGGACAACTAACTGCTGGCTATTCTCTTCCTGGGGTTGTTCCCTGGCTTGGTTGAAGTAGGGTCTGCCAAGAGAGCCAGAATTCCAGCATGGGACAGCTAGGCCTTGAAAGTAGCAAGAGGGAGACCCGCTGTCTGCCCTCTCAGGGGAGTCACTTGGCGCCTTTTCATTCTCACCACCTATGGCTCTTCAGGGGACTGCTTCTGCTACTGCCTCTGAGGCTACCTCCTCTCCCAGCCCTAAGGCCCACCTGGCTCCTCTCACCCTCTGGAAGTCAGAGGGCAGCTGGGAGAGAATGGCTGTCTCCAAACGCATCCTCCATGTATGCCTCACAGGCTTCACAATTCCTGGCCTGGGTTTCTCCTTTGCTTCTCTCCTGAGCACTATGGACTAGATCTGCTAGGCCAAGCCAGCACGGCAGCAGTCATGATGGTGTGGAGGAGGGGGGGAGGAGGAGGATGGTGATGGTGATGGTGATGGTGATGATGATGGTGAGGAGGAGGAGAAGGAGAATGGTGATGGGGATGGTGGTGGTGGTGGTGAGGATGATGGTGGTGAGGATGATGGTGGTGAGGATGATGGTGGTGAGGATGAGGATGGTGATGATGATGATGGTGATGAGGATCGTGGTGGTGATGGTGATGATAGTGGTGATGATGATGATGATGATGGCAATGGGAGGTATCTGTTTGTCCTGATCAGATTTTTTTTTTTTTATCAACCAGATACTAGAGTTATCTGGGAAGAGGAACTTCAGTTGAGAAAATGCCTCCATCAGATTGCCTATAGGCAAGTTTCTACAGTCACTGTCCTGATTAGTGATAGATGTGGGAGGGCCCAGTCCCTCGGGGGCAGTCCCACCGCAGGCAGGTGGTCCTGGGTGGTAGGAGAAAGCAAGCCGAGACATCCGTGGAGAGCGAGCCAGTAAGCAGCACCCCTGCATGGTCTCTGCTTCAGTTCCTACCTTGAGCTCCTGTCCTGACTTCCCTCACCATGGATTTAAACTGTAAGCGGAAACAAGCCCTCTCCTCCTCAAGTTGCTTTTGGTCGTGGTGTGTATCAGCAACAGAAAGCAAACTAAGGCACTGACCTACCTCTGCCTCCTGGTGGCTAGTGTCTTCCAATACCAAGTAACTCAAAGGGCCCCTGGGAATCTAGGAGAGACTCGGCAGCATAACAAAGTAGGGGAGGCCCTCTCCAATCACTGTCAAAGTAAAAAGTGTCTGATGACCCTTGGGTCCTGGTCCATTAGCCCAGGTCTGCCCTGTGCCTTCACACCCTCCATGTACACCTCCACAACTGCATCTCCAAGCCAAGAACAGGGGGTTATCACAGCATGTACTGGAAGCCAGGTACCCAGCGGAGGAGGAGAGTCCCAGGTGGGGAAAGTGGTGCTGAGGCAGGGGAGAGGCCTGTAGCGTCTCCCTGGCCACAAGATGGCCTCACAGGAAAGCTGAGTGTTCAGGGCTAATGAGAGGCATGATGCCTAAGGATGGAGTAAGGAAATAAAGGAGAAAGATGAGATTCAGCAAAATTAAGTCACTAACAAACAAGCAGTACGTCCAGAACTTGGGACCATGAGGGTCCACCCCCATTCTCAACTGCTGCTGCTGCTGGGGCCTGCTGACCACAGGAGTGCACAAGAGCCATGGAGTTCTCTGTCTGCACTCACTCAGGACAAGCCCAGAAGCCAGAGGTCCCACAGTTCTTCAGTAGGGCCCTAGTGCGCTGTCAGAGAGGGAGTCTGGGCCTCCCAGCCAGCTCAGAGCCAAACCATGACTAAGCTGGCATCTGCGTGTGCAAATACACTCATACCTGACGGCTCACTCTTTCGTCAGTGCACCCCCAGGACGGGACAGGCACTGTCTCTCACGCATAAATGAGGAAACACAACTTCAGACAGGGCCTGAAGCTTAGCCAGACTCTCACAGGAGCAGAAATGACAGGGAGGGACCAGGAACCCAGGTCTGTATGACTCTCACCCACCCTAATTTACCTTTCAACAGAGTAAGGACCAGGAGCGTAAGAAAGCACAGAACGGGCCTCCGGACCAGCCCACTCTTGACCGTCCGCATGAAGCCCTGATGTGATCACAGGTTCTGATCATCACTGAAGCCATGTTGAGTCAGGATGGCAGAATAGGTTGTGGGGTGGTGATGAAGCAAGGATACATTCTGAGGAGAATAAAAGTCCAGGCCAGAGAGGGCTCTGTGGTTGAAAGAATGTATTACGACTCAGGAAGAGGACCTGGAGTCGGTAGCCAGCTCCCACTTCAGACATCTTACAACTGTCTGTAATTCCAGCTCAGAGGGATCTGATGCCCCGAAGTCACCTGCGTTAATGTGTGCGTGTGCACAGACACACAGGCACACAGGCATATACATAATTTAAAAAAAAAACTTAGGAAAATCAGAAGTCCATAGGAATAAAAGAAATGACCGCAGGGTATATGCACAATGTCAAGATTTCATAAGCCTGGGGCATCTGTGTGTTCATGCATCGCTTTACAGTTTTCTCCTGTTAAAGACGTGTTCAGTTTCACTTTGCATGGGTGCTTTGCTTGAGCGTATGTCTGTATGTGAAAGTGTCCAAGATTGTTTTCTAACATGGCATTTTTAGGATAGAGCATAGATCCCGGCTGCTTGTGGGTAAAGAAGGAAGATTCTGGGTGTAGAGGCGCAAGGGGGAATACCTGGTGCCAAGTCTTCCTGGAAACTCCCCCTCACCTCCTGTTGAAAGACAGCAGCGACCACTACCTGACTCGGTATGGTCACATAGTGGGAGCAGCCAGCCCTCCTGGAGCCCTGGTGAGGATCCCTGAGAAACATCTGGCAAGCCCTGTGCACACAGCTCTGTGTTCCTTCCTATGCAGGGCGGGAGACTCCAGCTGGGACAGACAGGGGGGCGGGGGGGGGGCCCAGGACGGGACGGGACAGGGTCGCTTAGAACCAGGCAATGAGAAAAAAAGGAAACCTCAGGAAGACCCAGGCTTTTTAAATTTCCATAAAATCCACTGGGTGAGAACCCCTGAGCCTCCGAAGCCCAGCCCCCTGTGGTGACCACGGAGACGGACAGGGCCATGCCCACAGGGGCCTTGAGGCTACTGCAGCCCCAGGGTAGGGACTGTAGAACTGCCCTGCCCTGCGAGCAAAGATGAAAGGGGTTGAGTGGTCCCCATCTCGCCCCTCCTTCCAGGCACCCCTAGTTCCGATGGCGTTAGAAGTATCTTGGCTCTCAGAGTAGCCTACTGTCCCCGCAAGAAGCCTCAAGTCCTCTTCCCGTCAGAGGTCAGAGGGAGGACGAAATGTGAGAAAACAGATACATGGTTAAGAAAACTGTGGGCTGAGGAAATGATGGAATATTGAATGCTGGGTGAGAACACCCGCTGCTTATTATTCAGAAAAAGGGAACTTTACAGAGCTACCCAGTGTGATCCCATTTCTGATAGAAAAACAAACAGGCAGGACCAACTACACACACTTGCCAGGAAAAAAAAAATAGGACAGGAGAAAATTAAAATATGTTTGGTCTTGTTTCTTGGAGAAGAGTCCAAACTTATTCTCGTGTTTATTTCTAAAGCTCTGGCTGACGCTGCCATCTGGATTCTCTTTCCCTCAAGGCACATCGCCTGCTTCCCCTGCTGGAAGGCCATCTGTCCTCAGTCCTGGGGCAAGGGTGATAGTCTTCCCTGCGCAGTAGAGGAGGAAACCGAGGCTCAGCTTAGAGAGTAGCAGAGAAATCAAGGACAAGACTCCAGAATTAGAGCATTTAGAAATCTCCTAAGGCCTCCCCAGGGTGGTGGGTGGGGAAAATAAAGCTCCCGAGATCCTGTTTTCTTCAACATCTTACTAAGGGAACTATCAAAAGAATAGAAAACAGAGCGGCTCTCAGTGTGGTCTCCACCCCACTTCGAAGAAAGCCTTAAACGAGGTGGGGAGGAGGACTCAGGGAAGGGATGGGGGACTTAGGAAGAGGGATCAGTCCCAGAGCCACAGGCCTCAACAGGCTCGCGCGTGCATGCACGCATGTGCGCGCGCGCACGTGCGCAGCACATGCGCACATGCCCATGCTCGCACAGACTTCTAGGCTCCACCGAGACAGTCCCTAGACTGGTCCCCAACGTTGATGGCGAACCGCAGCTGCCCTCCCCCTCCCGCCCCCACGGGTGCCTTCCTCCTTCCTCTTTCTACTACTGCCCTGCCCTTCCCCAGGCGGATTCCTTATAGGTCTCAGGTTCCCCTCCGAGGCCGTGAGGTCTGGGCTGCCCTGGAGGACATGGCCTGGGCCCCTGACAACGTGCGGAAATGGTCAACCCTGGCGCTGCTGGCCCTCATGGGCACAGCCCTGACAGCGGCCATCAACCCTGGCTTCTCGGCCATAATCTCCCAGAAGGGTCTGGACTTCGGTAATTGCCTTTCTCCCTTCCTCCCTTATCCTGGGGTGGGCAGGGGGAGCACTTGTTGATCACTTAGGGTGCACAGCCCTTTAAATCTGGCGGCTGGCAAGCTCACAGCTCTGCTAAGGAGATCTCCTTTCCCTTGTTTTATGTAGGAAGAAACTAAGGCACAAACTCATAGGGCTGCGTAGTGGTAGAGCTGGGACTTGATCACTATTCTTAAAGATTCCAAATGTCCCCGGGCCCCAAAGGTCCTTATGATCCCCCTCTTTCTACACTGTCGCCTGGCGCAAATTTCTAGATCTTTCTTTCCAAAGCCTGACATCTGCCTTGCCTCGTTTGCTAGAGGCTGAGCAGGCTGGGAGAGGGGTTCTCACCAGTGAGATGTTTAAAACTCCGCTGGTAGACCCAGAGAAAGCTACCCCAGACTACTCCCCCAAGTTCAGGCAGGTAACAACTCCGCTCACCTGCTTCGCTGCCAGGCGCCTCACTGACCCACCGGGTCCCGTTTCTTCCACCGAAGGACCGGGTGGGACACACTACTCAGGTCCACTCCTGCAGGTAAGCACAGCGGAGTTGCCCAGAGGCTCTGGGTAGTGCACACCCACTTTTGAGCTCAGGTCATCTCTGAGGCCCTCCGCAGAGCTTCTTGGTGCTGTCCCCTGGTGACATAGAGCGGAACTGCAGCACTGTGGGTGATCCCAGCTCAAAACAGACTAGACAGACAGGTCCACAAAACCAGTGTGCACAGGCCCCAGGGGAATCTGCTTTTCTACCCCAAAACTCAAGTTCTAGCCTAGGCAGGACTTTTCGGAATTTCAGGGATGTGGAAAGATTCCCTCACTGAGCTTTGAGGGTTGTGTTTAAACCCAGAACGTGTGTTTGTGTGTGTGTGTGTGTGTGTGTGTGTGTGTGTCCTCACAGGAGTGCATGTTTGACAGCTTGTGGGGGTCAGAAACTCAGTCAGAACTCCTCATGCTGCCACAGCTGCCTCGCTGTTCTCTTCTGCTGGCGTCCCATGTGGCAAATGGAGTAGGGTTTTAAAAGTGCGACAAGCCTATTCATGGGTGTTCCCCACACCCAAAGGCTGGCCTTGGATGTGGCCTGAGCTCAGAGAACAAGAGGCCTGCCTTCCCATCCTGCCTCTATCTACCACAGGTCAGCTGTGGGCTCTTGAACAAAGCACTGGCCTCCCCCAACCTGTTTCCTCTTATGGGGGATGGGAGGGGTGAAAGGATTTCTCGGAGTGCTCAGCTTTGCTGCAAGTAGGGCCTAGTGGACAAGAAGACCCCGTGCGTTTTATTATTGCTGTCCATCCCACTTGGTTCTTGGGAAGCCAGAAGCCTGTTCGGCTCGCCACTCTGCCTCCCTCCTCTCCCCTCAGGCGACATGTTTGCTTGGTTAATTGGATCCTTGATGCTGTTAGCCACATCCACACTGGTGGCAGAATTCCTGCCTTTGGGGCATTCATTTATTTACCCAACAAACAGTAAGTGCCAGGCACCCCGGTAAATACCAGAGTTGCGTTAATACATAACAACCAAGATTGCCGCCAACTTCTGGGGACTTTCATTTAGCGAAGGGGAGTGACATCAATCAGAGTCACTGTGAATAGATGCCTAATTACAAAGAAAAATGGGTGCTTCGAAGGAGACACTCAAGACTGTGAGGATAGTAATATCTGTGCCAGGAAGCTTCCCGAAGGAAGTTATAGGTAGAAGTTATAGGTAGTTATAGGTAGCGCCGTCTCTGTGAAGGCCCTGTAGAAAGCCTGGAGGCTGTAGAGGCGGGTGTCAGTGGGAATACAGCCCAGAGCAAGGTGTGGAGAAAGATGCTTGGCTGGACGTTTGGGATGGTTATATCAGACCAGGATTCACAGTCTAGAGCCCACAGGTTCATTGTGGCTTGCTTTGTATTTCTGTATGAGCTATGGTCTAGTAAGAAGGGGTGTTTGTTTGGAGGGGTGTATGTGTACATGATCATGGGGTGAACACACGGGTGTGGGTACATCTGGGAGTCAGGGGAAACCTCAGATGTTCTCCCTCGGGCACCATGCACTGTTGTGGGGGGAGGATTCTTCATGTTCATGTATGTGTGTGGGCACACATGGTTGTATGTGAGCAAGAGTCGTGTGGATGCCAGAGGTTGACACCAGGTGTCTTTCTTGGGCACACTCCATTTTACATTTCGAGGCAAATCTTCAACCCAGAGCTCAGTGGTACAGCTGTTCTAGGCATTACTCTGGGACCCCTGACCTCCTTCATGAGCCCTGGTATTACAGACAAGTCACCACACCATCCAGCATTGATATGGGGCCTGGGGATCTGGGCTCTGTTCTTTATACTGTGTGGCCATCACTTTAACTACTAAGCCATGTCCCCAGGCAGTTGCTTTGTTTCTTAGAAATAGGGTCTTGCTATATGGCCTTAAATACAAGCTCTCCTGCCTCAACATCTCCAGTGCTGGCATTACAGGTGCACCCACACACCCCTTAAAGACTGTCTTTGGGTTCAAATGGTTGGGAAAAGTTCAAAAGAAGAATGGCCCATTGCATGTGAATGACTTATCCCAGGGCTCCCAGGGCAGCCTTGGGACATGGACACCTTTCTGTCTTTGCTTCAGTGATATCAAAATGGCACACGGTGCGGGAGGAGTGGGTGAGCCAAAGGTTCACGATCCTGGCTGTCTGAAGACAGAGCCCTGCTCAGCCCTGCCCTTCCCGCTGAGGCCAGGCCCAGGGGTCTGGAACTGCTGGGATCCTCCAGCCCTGCTCCTAAGCTGAGCTTGTCTCTGCTCTGCCCTCTAGCATGCCAGGAGGGTGTGACCGTGCTGCAGAAGGAGCTAGAAATCATCAAAGTTCCCAACTTCTCTGGAATCTTCAAGACGAAGCATCTGGGGAAAGGTTCCTATGAGTTCTACAGGTGAGGCTTGCTGAGGCTTAGGTCTCCCGACACAGGTCGCGGGGACCTGAGTCCTGTGGCCAAGTTCTCAGCTCATGGACTTCAACCCTCCCAACCCAGCATGCACGCCAGCCCAAGGTTTACCGCGCCTCAAGCTGAGCCTGGAGGTTGTCTTTCTAGCACCCTCCACCACTCCACGGTAGACATCATGAAACCCAAACCTGCGCTACACACGTGGATTCCAGGGACAGGAAAACAGCCTGTGCCTGAGGCGCAGCCTCACATGACTGGGTAGTTTAGCTGCAGCGCCTGCTTGAGCCAGGCTCTTGAGTCACTGGACATCGGTCTCTCTTACCACCTCAGCATCAGGTCCTTTCAGTCCCCCAGAGACAAGAGGGTCACCAGGTAGTTCTAAGAGTGCAGCCCCCTCAGCTCTCTGTCCAGGAAGAAGTCTTCTCCTGCAACACCAGCCAAAGCTCTGAGGTACACTCTGATAGGCCAGTTTAAATAATGTACATGCCCCTAAACCAATCACTGTGCCAGAGGAGTAAAACAAAACAAAACAAAACAAAACAAAAAAACCTAACTGTCTAAGCTTAAGTCCCCCCCCCCGCCCCACCTGAAAGACAGGTGGGTTCCTAGCACAGAACGGGTGAGATGGGCTCCCTAAATATACTTGCGTGTCTGCTGTTCCAGGAAAGGGGGTGTGGCTGCTGGACAGAAAACCCCCAAGTGTTTCCTACAGAATTCCATGCCAGGTCCATTCAGCAGACATCTGAAACACCTACTGTATGTCTCTGGCAGACATTGGGTGCACCTACTATGTGTCACGGCATATTTCACGCTTCCAACAGTGAGAACGGGCGGACACTTAACACCCTATACAGAGCCCGTGGTCAAGGCTCAGCGTCGGCCATCTCTGTTGACAGTCACTTGCCCTACGAGATGGAGACCGCCTGTCGGCTGTGAACCCAAGAAGCCTAGGGTGGCACGTAAGTGAAGGGCCTCACGAAGCTCTCCTGGCCCAGGATGCTGACTGGGTGCTTTTTCCTCTGCAGTATGACAGTGGATGGATTTCACATCCCTAATCCCCGGATCAGTCTGCTACCCACGGACAGGCTCCAGCTGTCCATCAAGGACGCCAGCATCAAGATCAGAGGGAGATGGAAATCAAAGAAGAACTTCCTGTGAGTCTCAGGCGCAAGGGTTGCTGGGTGAGCTGGTGACACTTGGAGACTTGTGAGCCAAGGTGTTGGGCATGTCCACTTCTGCCTTGTCTAGAGACAGACATGTGTTGCCACCGGGTGGGGGGGGGTCACTTAAAAACACTCTACCTTGCATGAATAGCTGAGTCGGGTCACACCCTAGTGCAGGACATGGCAAGGCAGACCGGGTGAAGAGTCGGCGAGTGTGGCTCAGGAGGGAAAGCTAAGCAGGACTTTTGGTTTCTTCCTGTGTTAGCTACTGCTGCTGTGTAACAAACATCCCAGTCTCAGTGACTTGAAACAGTAACCGTGATGCGTTGTCTCAATCTTGTGTATCAACAAGGCCCAGCTGGGAGGCGTGGCTTCTTCTCTGAAGTCCTGTGTGTCACCCAGAGCACAGTCTTAGCAACAGAAAAAGTGCAAAAGGCAGAGTTGGTCATGCACACTGTGTCCCTGTCATGCCTACAGGGGAAGTGATTAATTAAGTTCATTAATCAATTACTGGGTCAGTAACTGCCTAAAGTCGTGACACGAAACCCTCAAATCTTGAGTGATGAAATTGAGATGTACACGCGCATGTTCAGCTGCTAGTGAAGAAACAGAAGCTCAGAGAGGTTAAGAAACCTTCACAAAGCCACACAGCAAGGGCTCTGGTGGGACGGGGCATGGGGGGGGGGGCAGAATGCCAAGTGAAAATCAGGTTGGGATATCAGGTTAGAACCCCGACATCCAGTGTTGAGGTTTGCACATCTGCCTCTTGTCTCCGACACGCCCCTATCCCCAGGGCAGTGCTGACAGGGAACCTGGACAGGAGAAGTGTGAGGAGGAAAGGGTTTGCTCCAGGTTGCTTCTCTCTGTCTCCCCATCAGCAAAGCCAGCGGCAAGTTTGATCTGAGCATCGAAGGCGTCTTCATCTCTGCTGACCTGCAGCTGCACAGGAACCCCCCAGGCCGCCTCACTGTGGAATGTTCTACCTGCAGCAGTTACATTGACAGGATTCATCTCCAGATCTCGGGCAGCATGCTGGGGTAGGTCTCCTGGGGCTGCAGTCCCAAGAGGAGACTGTCCCCCCAATCTCCCTTCCTCAGAAAGTCTGTCTGTAGACTCACCTCTGTACAGACCTTTTCAGAGCCTTGGGTGTGAGCAGGGCAGGACGTGGTGGTTGGGGGTGGGGGACCTTAGCAAGGTTATCACATCAGTGAAGGGCTCACTTAGGGCGGTAAGAACCTAGACTTAAAAAGGTACAACGTGCCCTGGACACTTAGAACTGGAGGACCTGGCCCAGTCTGGGGGCTGGAGAAAATGACATTTGAACAGAGATGAAAAGGGTGAGTAGGTAGAAGTTGGCGATGGGGTGTTTTGAACCGGGGAGGGGGAACCCACATGTGCAAACGGTGGTGAGAGGAAGCCAAGGTACCAGGGAACAGAGCAAGCCAATGCGGCTGGTTTACAGGGTGGGGGGCATGGGGAGGTGGGTACGGGGTGGGACAGGTGTCTGTAGCTGTTAAGAAACTAGTCCCAGGGCTCAGAGGTTAAGAGCATTGTCTGCTCTTCCAAAGGTCCTGAGTTCAATTCCCAGCAACCACATGGTGGCTCACAACCATCTGTAATGAGGTCTGGTGCCTTCTTCTGGCCTTCAGGTGTACATGCAGACAGAATATTGTATACTTAATAAATAAATATTAAAAAAAAAGAAAAAGAAAATAGTTCCATAAACAGGTTGCTGCAAGTGGGGAGAAATGTCTAGTGAAGGCTGCATGAGCCAGGGCTAGTTGTCAGCGTTCCCAGGCACACCTGAAAATCCCTTGTATGTCCCCACACATCCCCTCCAGGTGGCTGATTCAGCTGTTCCACAAGAAAATCGAGACTGCCCTGAGAAACAGCATCTATGAAAAGGTAGGTGGGCATCAGTGGTGGCAGAGCCGAGGCCTCAGAGTGACATCTTAATCGTGCTGGGCACCTTGGCCTTCATCTCAACCCCTCAGCGTCCACAGAGCCCAACTGTGTGCTTTTCAGACAGCCCCACAAACAGAGCAGGGGAGGGCAGGCCTAGTCAGCAAGCCTTCCTGTAACTGCCAAGAGGCTTCTGTTTACCTCCCCCTAGCTCCTTCACTGCAGCCCCTGCTGTCTCCCCCTAGCCGCCCTCCCCTCCCCTGCTCACCCCTGCTGGGCCCTGCCCTAGAATACACACCGCCAAGGAAGCAACTGCATCTCTGTGATTTCTTGCTGCGACTAGGAGGGACCCCTGTGGTGTATGGAGCAGGGTGATAGCAGGGTACAGATGGCAAGGTGTCCCCCATGCTGAGGACAGACATAGCTTAGCACGTTTGCAAGAACCCTCTGCATTGGGTCCCTGAAGGTCATCACCAGCAGGGCATCCTGCTTGGCAGCAGCCCTGGCTTAAAGAAGTGAGGTGTCAGGTGGCACAAGGCTACACGTGGGCCTGAGCAGGCTGGAGTGGGCTGGGGAGCCGCAGAGACTTCACGAGACTGGCAGATTCGGAGTCCCCCATTGGCCTGTTGGGTGGGCATTGGGGCAATGGAGCAGGCAGCATCCGAGAAGCAGCCAGAGTGTTCCGCCGTCCCCTACCCCTCCTAGTCTGGGCCAGTGAGATACGTGTCACAGGAGCCACAGAGGATGGTCCAGTTCCTATTGGGACTTCAGAGCCTCCTGTGACAGAAGCACATTCCAGGGGCAGCTTCTCCACCCTTCCTTTTTCCCTTCTTCCTTCCCCAATCTTCCATCCCTCCTTACTTTCTCCACCCACTGCGAAGACCTAGGAGGTGTTGCAAACCAAGGTCCAGCAAATAACCACACTTTATTCCTTAATCCATTCGGTCAATCTGCATCTTTTTTTTTTAAAAGGTTGTTTTGTTTTGTTGTTTTGTTTCTCTGTGTAGCCCTGTCTGTCCTGGAACTCACTTCATAGATCAGGCTGGCCTTTAACTCAGAGAGATCAGCCTGCCTCTGCCTCCTCAGTGCTGGGATTACAGTCTGCATCTTTTCATTGTTGAGTTAAGGCCTTTTACATTAGCGGAGTGTGTGTGTGTGTGTGTGTGTGTGTGTGTGTGTGTGTGTGTGTGTGTACACTGGGTATGTGTGCACTCATGAGTGTGAATGTAGACACACTTGTGCCATTCTGTCCGTGTGAAGGTCAGAAGACAACTCAGGTACCCACCCTCACTTTTCACCTTATCTAAGACATGAAAGTCTCCTGGTCACTTTTCTGCAGCCTACACCAGGCAAAGTGACCCTCAGGCTTCTTCTGAGCACTTTCTGTCTCCACCTTCCATTTCTCCATAGGGAGCACCAGGGTTCCAGGTACTTGTGCTACCTGCCCAGCTTCCACATAGGTTCTGGGAATTCGAACTCAGGCCCTCACTCTTGCATGGCAAGCATTTTTACCACCGAACTGCACATTCAGGGTTGTCACTGAGGGGTGCACACTAACTTCTTCCTCCTGAAGTCTTTCTGGTTTACTGTGAGAATGTGAGAGAGGTATGCTTGCCCGAGCTCTCAGGCTGATGTGTGCCTCTACTGTGTCATGCACCCCCTCCTCAGTTCCTCTAAGTATCGCCCGCAGCACTGGTGTAGTAGAAAGAATTGCTTTAGCTTGCGGATGGATGTTGTAGCTTTAGCTTGCGGATGGATGCTGTAGATCTTTATTTCCCTCTGTGTTGTCCCAGGATAGCTGTTTGGGGGCAGAGCTCTTGGTTGGAAGTTCTGTCTGAGGACTGAAATGCATCACCGCTCTCCTTGCCTTAGGGCTTCGGTGGTCAGGTATGCCTTTGCTCTGCTCATTTTGCCTTTGTAAGCGCTTTCTCACCTGCTAGCTTCTTGGTTTTAGCTACAATATGACCTGAGATGGTTCTCTTCCGGTAGAGTCAACACGGGGTTCCAAATACTCAGTGTACTTCAATGTCATTTCTTTCCCCAGATCGAGGGAATTTCATCCTTGCTTGTTTGTTTTAACTGAGTAGGTGTCTCGCCCTAACTCTGTCTCGGCTCCCTCTTCACTCATTCATCTCGTCGTTATGACCCAGAGCCTGGATGTTTCAATGATAACTCTTGATCCCTTGCTACTCTCCATGTGCAGTAGCCACTCAACCTTGACTTCAGTTCCCAACATTCCTTTTTCCTCTTGGCCTAGTCTCTCAGCAATTGCATTAACTACTCAACTCATTGCTGGTTAAAAGCTGACAAAGGTGGGGAGGGTTAATTTGTAGTTTGCAGGCCTGGTCCATCATGGGAGGGCAGACAGGGCAGCAAGACACTGAGGTGACCAGTCACAGCACATCCAGTCACAAAGCAGAGAGACAAATGCTGGGTGTCGTCTCCTTTTATCCAGCTGGGGACCCAGCCCAGAGAATGCTGTCACCCCATTCCAGCCTTTTCCTGCCTTTAGGGACAAATCTTAGGCACTGTATCAGCCCAAGGATGAAACACATCCTAAATGAACATACACCGTGGCTCAGATTTGTTAAGGGACCGTTGTAAGGGCTCCTGCTGCAGCGTGCCCGACCTTAGAGTCCGTATCAAGTCACGCCCGGGTGCACGAGCACAAACACAGAGGTCAATCTGAGGACCCGTGTGGCTACTGAGTAACTGACAGCAGGTAGTGTGTACAGCTTGGATACGAAGGGCAAAGGGGTCGTTTGTGTCTTAGGTGGGGTGGAGGGAGGTTGCATCATCTCTTCAAACTGACACACAACTTAAAACTTGAAAATTCTTTATTTCTAGAACTTTCCCCTTAATAGTTTTGAATCGTGGTTGATCATAGGTGACCCCAGTTTTGCCAAAGGCAGAGGTTTGGTTATCCAAGCTGCCACAATTGATCTGTTCCTTACCGCAGCAGAGAGAAGAGGGTTCTAGAGAAAGGGAGAGAACAAGGTCAGCCAGTTCTCAGACCAGTGTGTCTTCCCTTGTAAGGCACAGGCTAAGGTGAGGGCGCCTACACACAACCAACCTTAGAAGGTGCCCAGCTATCCAAACCCAGAGGAAGGGAAGACTGAACACGGACCACCCTGTGTTTGTTGGCCACCTCATGCTATGAAGGAGCTGAGATGACGAGAAACAGATAAAGAGACGAAAAGTCAGACAACTGAGAACATCAGAGAACATGGCGCTATAGCCCAGGTCCCATAAATACCCGTTAGGGAGGTTCCCGAGCAGAAACGACACGGGGTACAGATATGCAGGCAATGTAGTCTTACACAGTTAATTGTTTCTGAGCTTCCAGTGGCCAAAAACAAAAAGGAAACTTGATTAGCTGTGTGATTTTTTTTCTTTTTCTTTTTTTTTGGGGGGGGGGATTCCAGACAAGGTTTCTCTGTAGCTTTGGAGCCTGTCCTGGAACTATTCTTGTAGACCAGCCTGGCCTCGAATTCACAGAGATCCACCTGCCTCTGCCTCCCGAGTGCCGGGATTAAAGGTGTGCACCACCACCACCCAGCTAGCTGCGTGGTTTTTAACAAGACACTAAAGGAAGAGAAAGCGTGTGCTGCGGTTTGGATTTATCTCCACAGAGTTCATGTACTGAAATCTTAATCTCTTAATCCCCAAATTAATCTGTTAATGGTGTTTAGAGGTGTGGTCTATGGGTGACACTAGGGTTAAATGAGCCCCATGATGGCCTTGGTGGCTTTGTATAGGCAGAGGCAGGAGTTCCTAAGCTAGTGCAAGCCCCTGTCTTGCCAAGCTCCACTCTCTACCTCGTTACAATCTGGAAGCCTCTTGGCAGACTCTGCCGTCGTGTCATCATGGACTTGAAGGAGCCATGAGCTAACTAAACCTGTGTTCCCTGTGAATCACTTGGTCTCTGGTATTTTGCTATCACCACAGAGAGAAGATGGAGGCGGCGTGTCTGGACTCTCACTTCCCACTCCTGAAGCTCACTGGCATGTCTTTGGTTGTCCCTAGATCTGCAGAGTTGTGACCATCTCCGTGTCCACCAAGCTGCAGCCTTACATCCAGACTCTTCCAGGTGAGGGCTGGGAGTGGGCTGAGGATGGAAGAAGATCAGGGTGGGGGCTAGAAGGGAGACAGAGTGGATGGGGCAGGCCTGAGCCTGGTGGCTAGGGGAAAGCGGGCTGCAATCCTCCACAGCTAGCATTGGGCCAGTTTCTTGTGCATTCAGAAGTGAAGTGGAAGCCAACTCCTTCCTCCAGTCAGGCAGAAGGCAAACACCCTGAACCCCAGCACCCCAGTACTCCTGTACCTTGGCACCCCAGCATCCCCGCACACACCCTGGCTCTCTGAGGCCAATGACACACACAACCTGAGATGAGAGACTGCCCACTTCTCTCTAGACCTCAGTTCCCACGCCCTGAAAAGGAACGATATCTCTATATACAGCAAATGACAATGATCACAGCTCCTGTTGGCGGGCATCCTCCTGCCCTAGCCTCCTCACTTCACTCCTGGAGAAACTAAGACTCAGAGAGTCGGGACAGATACTTGTTTGAATTCCCAGAGCCATCTAGAAGAATCCAGATCCCAGTGTGGAGATCAAATTTTATTCTTGGCAATTTCATACATTTATATGATGTGTCTCGATCACACCCACTGGAAGTTGGGGGTCTTAAAAACCTCAGATAGGACTGCCCCCTTGTGGACCGCGCACTGCTGGCCCATAACGCATGTTCTGATGCAGGACCAAAGAACAGCCTCCTCTTTCTCTCTCTTCCCCGATTTCACGCTGCAGCCCAGGCTAACCTCAAACTCCCGCCTCTGCCTCCCACATGATGGGATTGCAAACATGTTGCCCCCTCACTGAGCCATTGCTATATGTGCGAATACGTGCGTGTATGTATGTATGTGTGTCTGTGCACACATGCATGTGTGAATGTATATATGTGTGTGTGTATACATGTGTACATGAGTCTGGGGACTGAACCCAGAGCCTGACATTGACACACTGGGTGCTCCAACCCAGTCTCCATTGCCAGACTTCACATCTTTTCTGGGAACCTCGGGGAGTCCTGCAGGGGTCCTGCAGGGGTGATGGAAAGAGACCACAGCTCCCCTTGCAGCCGTGCAGCCTACTGCCACTGGAGCCAGCTCACAGCCCATTTTCTCTGTGTCTAGTGGTTGCCAGAGTGGATGAAATGGCCGCAATTGACTACAGTCTGCTGAATCTTAAAACCACAGATGAGTTCCTGGAAGGGCAGCTAAAGGTGAGGCTTCCACAGAGATGGGTACCTGCTCAAATACGTGCTCTGTAACCATGGAAACTGACCTCTTCCTCTCTGCTTTGCCCCACTCCACACTCCCCTGCTCCCCTGCTCCAGTCATGTTGGTCACCAACATTCCAGAAGCTCACTGTGCCTGCCCCGGCCCGGGGCCTTTGTGTTCACTCTCCCCTCTGCCCAGGGTGCTCTGTAGCAGATATGGACATTGCTCTCCCTGCTTCCTTCCAGTTCTTGGTCAAATTGGGCCTTCCCAGGGAAGTCTTCCTAGGGATGCTTTCCCTGGCCACTCTTGCTGAAATAGCCCCCAACACTGCCTTTATCTCAGCAGAGCTAATTACACCCCCCCCACCACCACACACACAGTCAAGAGAGGACAGGGACTTCATTGTCCAGTGCTGTATGTACAGCACCTGGAAATATGCTTGGTGCAGGGTAGGTGTCGGGAAATGTGTTGGACCGGGGTAAAGGTTGGCAAGACAGAGGGAAGAAAAGGAGTGACATTGCCTAGGTCAGTGGTTGTCAACTCTCTGAACGCTGCGACCTTTAACACAGTTCCTCATGTGGTGACCCTAACCGTAAAATTATTTCATCGCTGCTTCATAGCTGTAAATTTGCTACTCTTATGAATCATAATGTAAATATCTGATATGTGTCCTCTGTGGGGGTAGCAACTCATGACTAAGAACTACTGGCCTAAATCATACCATGCAGAAATAAGCACACTCAAGACTGATTTAGAGCCTCCAAAACTTCTCTACGGTGATACAGCATACACAGGGAGAGCAAGAGTGGGAACAGACACAAGGAGACAGAGAGACAGAGCATACAGAGGCATAGAAACAGACCCACACAGCACAGATGCAAGCACAGACACACACACACACACTCACACACACACACTTCATGACCCTCTCGTAAGCACCGCTATCCATCACTGAGCCAGAAGAGTACAATATGGACAGCTCCTAAGACACCCACAAAAATGTCTCCTGTGGCCTCCCACTGATGGCTCTGTCCTCCAGTGAACAGCCAGAATAAGGTCCCACCCTGGACAGCAGGGCCCTACCTGGGGCAGCTGGACTTTTCTCAGATGTCCCATGCAGCTAACCAGAGCTGCAGTTGGTACCAAACCAGGCCATTTTGTCCAGTGTGTGGCATGCTGGTTACTAAAATGACAAGAGTTATTCATGTGATGGGCAAGTGTGAGTAGGGAGCCTGGGTCTCTAATTATCCCCAAGGACGAGCTTGGGAGCATTTATGGGCTGGGACCTGGGGAGAGGTGATGGGATGTTAACTGGGCAAATAGAAGATAGAAAAACAAGGAACTTGGGGCAGGCAAAGCTGCGTGGTGATCTAGGAAGAAAGAGCAGGCAGCTGCATCCTCAGGGATCATCCTGAAAGCTCTCTGTCCACTCAAGACTACTCTCTAGAGGTACCGGACAAGACTGAATGCTTGAAATACCCACATACACACAAAGCAGTGCACACACCTACACATACACATACACATGGACACGTATGCATGCACACACACACACTCCACACACATGCACACATCTGGGTACATGCATATGTGCACATGTATGCACGCACATACACATAGTGCACACACATGCACATGCCTATGGCATACATACATGTACAGATACATGCACATGCATATATGTACACACTTGCACACATATATACATATACACATATGCAAATGCATTCACCTGCTCTTGGCTGGTGACCTGTTTTGCATGGGGGATGGTGCTGTCCTGCTCGTATTTCTCTCCTAAGGATGCATATTGAGCTAGTGTCCACTATCATTAAGAACTGCCTGGTCGGCTGGGTGCGGTGATGCAGGCCTTTAATCCCAGCACTCAAATGGCAGAAGCAGGAGGATCTTTGTGAGTTCAGTCTGGTCTACATAGCAAGTTTCAGGTCAGCAAGGGCTACAAAGAGACCCTGTCTCAGAAAGAAAGAAGGAAGGAAGGAAGGCAAAAGGAAAAGAAAGGAACTATATGGTCTTCCACTGTGTGGGCAATGTGGACATTAACTTTAATTTAAATGGCAGCGTGGTTCAAAGGTTCAGAGAACATGGCTGGTCTGTATCTCAGTGGCACAGGGTCACCTGCATGTATGATGCCAAAGCTTCCGGGAGTGTTTCCACTGCCCTCCTGCCCACACCAGGCACCACACTGAAATGACGTTTGTCCTTTTGTACACATTTAGACTTTCGGTGCTCTTTAAATTTTATGTAAGTGGTATTCTACCATATGTGTCTACAAGTGGCTTTCCGGAGCTAGACATTGTTTTTCTTCCTAATAAGCAATCTGTTCTCATCGCACGTTGTCAGATCACTTCTTAGAGACATAAGGGACAGGTGTCCTCTCGGTAGCATGTGACATTTACCAAAAATGCACACCTCAGCCTTCCTGAATCTGTTAATGGGACAGAGGAAGCAACCTGGAGGCCACTGTTCTTTTGATGGCTGCTGAGCTGACTGGCAAGAGGGAGGGAATGGTGCAGTGGGAGGGGGTTTTGGGCTGTGTGACCGTCTCGTGTCCCAGGATGCCAGAAAGTGCCCTCCGGTGCCCTACGCTGACACCAACAGTTCCTGGTTGTGCCCTGCTCACCTGCAAACCTAGGACACCCAGACCTGCTCTGTGCTTTCCACCCAGGGGGAGTTTTTCTGGAGGAGACACCACGACCCACTCCCTATTACCCCACCAGCAATGAGTTTCTCCCCCAACAAGAGCTACATGGTACAACTGGGCATCTCCGACTACTTCTTTAACACTGCCGGGTTTGCATATCAAGAATCTGGAACATTGCAAATGACCCTGAGGGACCAAATGGTGAGTGTGGCTGACTAGCACAGAAAAGCATGGACTCCATGTCCAGCAGACCTAGGTGGGAGGCTTCGTTCCCAGGTGTAGAGCCCCAGGGTCAAGTGTCTCAACCGAGGTACTCTAGGTCACTAACGTATCCCTGCACCTCAGACTCCACTGTAAGTCACCCACACTAGTGTCCTCCTCAGAGGCCACTGTGAGTTTTAACTGAAAGAACAGTGCAAGAGACTGGGGCCCCAGACCTCAGTGCATAGCAACCACACCCCACTATATGCTATTCCCACCCTTGATTTAGCATCATTGACTCTTACCACGTGTTCATGGCTGGACTCACTCTGGACCTCAGTTTCCCCATCTGTACATGATGAAGTAACCCCCTTCTCTACAACCTGGGAGGTACAGCCATCCCAGCCAGGCCACTTACATGCTGGGCCCCTTTTACAGCACTCCTCAAAACCATCAGGTTCTCCTCTCTGTATAGGAAGACATGCAGAATGGCCACGACTAACTATGGAAGCAAACAGACCAGCCATGGGGGCCAGCCAGGCTGCTTATACACAGCAAGACTGGGCCCCATGGCTGGTGTACCTCAGGAGTCAAAGGTGGGCAGGAGTGGGGCCTCGCGGGATTGGAGGGGTAGCACGGAGGCAGGCTGGATGAAGCGGGCCATCCTGTGATTGGTGCAACAGCAGCAATCACTGACCACGCCCACCCTTCCTCGCCAATAACTAATCAAGTTGTAGAGCCAGGTAGTACTGGCACAGAGGCGCCACTGTGCGCTGATATGCGGTGTCTCACTCCCGGCCTGGCATGCACCTATTCCTCTCAGCTTTAACCGTCTCCCAATGTCCTCGCCCCTCCTCACCGCAGTTGCCAAAGGATTCCAAATTCCGACTGAACACCGAGTTCCTTGGGACCTTCCTGCCCAAGGTAGGAAAGCCTTGTCTCCTCGCTCGCTCTCTAGAATGCCAGGGAGGCTCACCTACCCATCAAATCTCTGCCGAACTGGGGACCAACAGAACAGACTGCCTACCCTCCGTCCCCCCACCTATCTCTTCTGCCTCCCCCTACTCCTGAACTTCCCTCCCTCACTGCCCTCCTCTCCTCTCTCTGATTCCTTCATGTTCCTCTCTCAGTCCTATGAAGACAGAACTTTCCATTTAGGTGCACATGAACAAACCAGGCGTGTGCCCTGTGATGGTGACAGCAATGGGTAGATGAGGTTGCTGTAGACGAGGTGGACAGGCAGGTTCCTTCTGTAGGCTGAATGGCTTAAGCCAGGAATTTATTTCTCAGGAGTTCTGGAAGACCAAGGTTGGGGTTCTGGGAGGACAGTATGCCAGCCACTAGTCCACGGGGAGAGAGAGGGATGCGCTGGTGTCCCTTCCTCTGAGAAGAGCCCTCAGCTCAGAGCTCGTTCAGCCTGGCTTCTGTAAACGGCCATCTCTAAGCTCCAATGGGAACTGCAGAACAGGAGCACAAACAGTCCATTTCCAATGGTGTCTAGGGATTTCGACAAGGAGGTGGCGGCTGAGGAGGTGTGGCGGGTAGAAGTGCCCAGGAGGTTTGTCTTGAACACTGGCCTTGTGGCCAATGCTCTTACCTCACCTAGATGGCCTAGGGGGAGGATGGATGGCTTGCATGGGTCTCAGATAAAAGGGACCTCTTCTGTCCCTTGTCACTCGTACCTGACCGCAGGTGGCCTTGAAGTTCCCCAGCGCAGAGGTGCAGCTGCTGCTCTCCGTTTCCTCACCTCCACACCTGAGCATCCAGCCCTCAGGCCTCTCACTCGACCCTGGCCTGGAGGCCCAGGCCTTTGCTGTGCTCTCCAACTCCTCCCTGGTCCCTCTTTTCCTGGTTCACATGGTAAGCTGGGTGGGGACCCTGATCCAAGCCTGAGCCTGGGGACACCGCCTCAGTTGCACCTCCCACAGACCCTTCTCACCAGCGTCCCCCGTGCACTTGCTTGTTTATGTGTGGATGTCCCTCCTTGTCCTTTCATTCATTCGATAATTCATTCCTCCACTGCGCAAAACAGTCCCCAGCTGCCTGTCTTCGGTGATTCAGAACGCGTGTGTGTGGTTTTCATCCACCCATTCACCTATTTGTCCAGTTTTTAATTAAGTCAATTACTCATTCTTACGTGAAATATGCTGTCCCTTCTCTGGCCCCTATGCCCATCACTTATTCAATTACTCACGGATTCATTTGCTTAACCCTTTGTTCAGCGGGTCCATCTTCATCACTTATCCGTCCATGCATATCTTGGAGTACTGCTTCTTCTGTGAATTTGCTTAACCCTTAATTTGCTCAAATTTTCATTCCACTGCTGATTTGTATCCATTGATTGGGTCACTCTGTTGATGGCCCCTGCATGTGTCCAGCATTTCCCCTAGTAGGGGACACTAGAAGCCTGTGGAGCATCTGCAGGAATGTTCCCAGCTGGGGGCGCTAGAGATATGTGTGGCCGGTCTGTCCAGTTTCAAGCTACAGCTCACTTGGCAGATGAAATGGGTTCTGATTCAGTTCCCTGAGGCCATAGGTAGGCCAGGGAGCTGAGGTGGGGCTTCTCTTCCTTAGTAGCTTTTGAGGGAAGCAGTGGGTGGCTATTGTGATGACAGGCCTTGCCTCTTCCCAGACTGACAGCCCAGGACTCTCAGAACCACAAGGCCAAAGCCTTTCTCCCTGCTTCCTGGGCTCTGTGGGTATGACCCAGAAGTATGGTCACTCTGCTGGCCCTCCCCTGCCAGGAGTCAGGCCATTTATCTGGATCACTTGCTTTACAGAACACAACCGCCTCTTTGGAAGTGGACGTTGAAGCAGACAGGCTTGTTGGAGAGATGAAGCTAGAAAAGTAAGCCTGGGGGGCCAGGAGGAGGTGGATGTTCATCCATTCCTGGGCTCACAAGGGAGTAGTGGCCTTCCGCACACTCAACACCCAGTCCTGGCCTTGGTCCACCTGACCAGGCCTCAGATGGTGTGCCCTGGGCTCCATACCCATTTGCTCCAAGCCACAGGTGGTGACTTGGATACTCAGGAGAACTGGGACCTGCCTGAGCAACCTAGTAAGACACCGTCCCAAAGCAAAACTGGAAAGGACTGAGAATATAAGCGCTCTCGGGGCAGAGCGCCTGCCTGGAACGTATGGGGCCTGGGACGTATGGGGCCTGGGACGTATGGGGCCTGGGA